CGTGCGCATCGCGGCGCCCGAGCTGCAGCGGGGAGAGGTGAGTGGGGCCGGGGGCGTCGGGCCAGGGACGCCGCGGGGCGGGCGGTGCTGGAGCCCGTGTCCCGTCCATGGCACGCTCGGGCGTCCCATCTGTGTACGCCACCGAGCTGTAGCTCCTGGGACCTGGGAGGAGAATGGGGTCCGGCCCCCCGCGCCGAGCGGGGAAGATAGCGGGGGTCAGGTGACCCCAGCGAGGTGACGGCCTCTTGCAGATGTGCAGGGTAGGCGATTGCACCACCCCGCAGGGAGCTTGTTCCACAGCCTGGACACCCTCGTGGTGAAGAAGTTTTTCCTAATGTTGAGCCTGAATCGATCTTCCAGGAGTTTGTGGCCGTTACTGCTGGTTTTCCCCTCGGGTGCCCTGGTGAGCAGTTGATGTCCTCCCCTAGTCTAGCGGGAAGCTGTTACCAGGTCCCCTCTCGCCCTTCGTTTCCTTGGGCTGAAGAGTATTCCTCCTAGCCCGGGTGTTTCGTGCACACACATCACCTGTTCTTCCTCACCCCAGTGCCCCATCCATATATATTGCCCTATTCCTCCTAGCCCAGGTGTCCCACCCGCATACACCACCTATTTTTCCTAGCTCCGGTGTCCCATGCACGTACATCGCTCCTAGCCCGGGTGTGACATGCACGTGCACCGCCTGTTCCGCCTAGCCCTGGTATCCTATCCACGTACAGCACCCTAGCCCAGGTGTCCCATGCACATACCCCACCTATTTCTCCTAGCCCAGATGCCGCATCCATATATATCACCCGTTCTAGCCCAGGTGTCCCATACACTTACACTGCCTATTCCCCCCCAACCTCCAAGATTTTGCTTGCCCGCAGCACCGTTAGCTAATAGCTTGTCTGTAAAGTGTTGTTTTTTTAATAGCACCCCTGACTTTTGAGGCCCAGCTCCAGAGAGCACCATGGCATTGATCCTGGCAGGCTGCCATGCCTTGCTGTGCAGCCCTGAGGGAGCAGGATCATTCTGGGCAAGCATGGGGTTAAAAGGCTGTTCTTGTGGAAAGTGTCAGGGATTCAGGGCCCTTGGAAGGAGCCCGCAGGGAGGGGATGCTGTGTGAGAAGCCTCAGTAATGAAGTAAACCTGGGTTCGTGGAAGCTCGTTCTCTCTCTGTATATCTTAGTTAGCCTATAGATGCGCATCTCTACCCTGCCTTAGGGAAGGGGGAAGTTTAGGTTTGATGTTAAGAAAAACTTCCTAACTAGGAGGGTGGCTAAACGTTGGAACAGGTTACCCAGAGAGGTGGTGGAGTCTCCATCCTTGGAGGGTTTTAAGAGCTGGCTAGACAAAGCCTTGGCTGGGTTGATCTAGTTGGGGCTGGTCCTGCTTTGAGCAGGGGGTTGGACTAGATGCGACCTCCCGAAGTCCCTTCCCATCCTCATTTTCTAGGATTCAGTGTGGTCAGCGCCCCTGGGATCGGCATCTTTGATTCTAGGGCGTACGTGTAGGTAGCTCACGCTGGGAGGTTAACGTGTTATGACGAAGCCTGCCCTCCTCAGGCTACACATTAGTTCAGCGTTACCTTCTCTTGGAGAAGGTGCCCCACTGTTTTACTGTAAGGACTTCCGGTTTCTTGAAAAGAATCATCAGGGTCTGGAGAGACCAGGAAGCTGCTTGCTAGCAAGAGAGTATTGAGGAGGCAGACCCTGAGCACGACGTTGTAAGTAGCACTGGGGTGGAGTTGGTCAGCTGGCTCGGGAGAGCTGGAGTGGTGTTGATTTAGATCCACCTCGCTGGAACAGGCACAAGGGTCATGTGGAGTACGAGTACGGACTCTTCCGCCTGATGAGTGGTGATGCCTGGCCCGGCCTAATGAGCTGCAGAGCCAAGGACCCCTCTGCTGGGGTGTCCAATGTATGACAGCAGTGTGGCTAAAAATATCGTGTTGCAAAACAGAGCTGGCTGCTGGTGAGCCTGGCTGGACAGCTGGACAGCAGGTAGTCTCTCTCCACTCATGAATGGTGCCGATCCCCTCTATGCGGCACTGGTCAGGCCGCAGCTGGAGTACTGCGTCCAGTTCTGGGAGCCGCACTTTAAGAGGGATGTGGACAGCATCGAGAGGGTCCGGAGGAGGGCCACTCACATGATCAAGGGACAGCAAGGCAGGTCCTACGAGGAAAGGTTACGGGACCTGAACCTGTTCAGCCTCCAGAAGAGAAGGCTGAGGGGGGATCTTGTGGCCTGCTATAAACTAGTCAGGGGGAATCAACAGGCACTGGGGGAGTCCCTGTTCCCCCCGAGCGCCGCCAGGAGTGACCAGGAATAACGGTCACAAGCTGGCGGAGGGAAGGGTCAAGTTGGACATCAGGAGGCGCTACTTCACGGTCAGGGCGGCTAGGGTCTGGAACCAGCTTCCAAGTGAGGTGGGGGAGGCTCCCACCCTGGGGGGTTTTAAAAGGAGGTTAGATGACCATCTTGCTGGGGTCGTTTGCCCCCAGTACCCTTTCCTGCCATGGCAGGGGGGCGGGCTAGATGATCTGCCCAGGTCCCTTCCAACCCTAGAAACTATGAAACTGTCCCTGCTGCAGGGATGCTCTAGACTAGACCAGGGGTTCCCAAAGTTTTTAAGCTGCGGGCAGTCACAGGCGACAGTGGCTGGAATTTCCGGCTGGAAGACAGGTAAGGATACTCTCGCCCCCCGGGCTGGGTGTGGACCAAACTGTGTGCTGCCACAGGCCCTGTGGAAGGAGCCACAGCCTCCGCCCGGTTCTGGTGGGCTGTGGTTTGCTAGTCTGCAGCCACTTCCAGTCCTGTAGCCGACCATGCTGCGGACCAGCAGCTGACCTGCTGTGGCCCGGGGATTGAGAACCCCTTCACTAGAGCAAAGTAAATGAGAAGTAAATGGTTTCACTTTGCAAGGGCTCCATTCTCTCTGTCTTTTCATATCCCATGTCACAAGCCCCTTTATTTCTATCTGCCACATCCGCTGGGCAGCGTGATGGATTCATTAGTCTTGCTGGCAGTCTAGCCATGTTCCACCTCCACGTACCCACGATTCACTTATTCCCTTCTTCAGTGTTTGGCTTCGAAACAGGCATTTTGTAATAAAGCCCATACCAGCGCAGTTACAGGAGAGTTAACGAGGAGGTTTTTGGAAATCTGTCATGGGGTGATGGCAAATGAAGGGGGTCTGTTTCTCCTCACGTTTGCTGATCCCTTCTCCCCCCCCCCATGCTATATTTTAGCTTTAAAGACTTTCATGCTGGGGAATAAGAGCCAGTGAAAAAGAAGTGTGAGAGAAATGGGTCTCGCTTAATGGTTGTTCTCTAGCCCTTTTCTTTTGTGACAACCAGCCTTGTTCCTCCTTGGGAACGCTTTTCCCCTCGCCCATGAATTGAGCTGCTCTGTCTTGCTCCTACTTTTAAAGATTAGAAATTAGACAGAGATTTAACTCTAGACTCCCTTTATTTTAGCTGAGTTCCTATTTGCTGCCTATGTTACTCTTTGTAAAACCATAAGGCTGTAGAAATACTTCGGGCATGAGTCTCCTGCCTGCTAAGACCCCTGTGCGGTGGCAGGATGGGAACAGGACTGGGACTTAGCTGTTCTGAGGAGCCTTGCACAGCTATGAAGAGCCCGTCCTTAATCCCCAGCACAAATGCTCATACCTGAGGTTTGGTCCTTTCTCTTCCATGCTTAGGCCATTGAAAGGCAGCACCCAGCAAGGCCTGTTGCCCTAATCATCCTTTTTCATCCGTTTGCAATGTCCACATGGAGCTGTGGGGTATAAAGCACAGTTTGAATCTATTGCCTGAATATTGTTCTCCCTTAAATTTTAAATTATGCTTTTTGCTTCCTGCTTTTGTCCCTTCCACCCCAGTCCCCTGCTTTATAGCAGCATTAAAGTGCCAGTTAAACATAGGAATTTCAGGCTTAACTTTATTTAATGCTTTCTTGTTCCACATCTGGACAGATAAGAACAATCTATCCAACTTAAGCTTTGGAGATTTAACATGCAAACACTGATTTATTTGTTTGCATAGCTGTAGTTTTGACAGCTGCATAATGCATTATATATGGCGGTGTCCCAACCACACTAGTTCCAACTGTCTCTAAACATAATAGCCAGCAGCACGGTCCTGCTTCCATTGTGGACAGTCTGTTTACCTCCTTTGCTAGTAACCAGGGCTGGTTTTAACAAAACAGTGTTTCTTGACCTGATAATACCTAAATCTGCCAGACTGGGAGAGTGAATTTGAATTGTACAGCCTCTCCCTGTCAGCAGCTCCGGCTCTCGCAGACTGTAAAGCCAGGCCTGTTCTAAACTTGGCCCTGTGGTAACCTCTTCCAAATTGATAACGGATGAATTTGTTCCTCTGTTTTCTTTCTCTCTCTCTCTCTCTCTCTCTCTCCCCCTAGTCTCAAGTGCTATGCTAAGGTCAGTTTTTCTTTCTCAGTCAGATTCCGAGGAAGATGAACCAGCAAAGAAGAAGAATAGTCTTCAGGTAATGACTTATACTATGCAATGGTCAAGCTAATGCTACCTGTAAAAACACTTCCTTGTCATAATTTTGGCCTCAACCTAGCACCCCTCCATCTCTAGTAGCGATTCCAGGGGCACCACTGGAGCAGTTGGTTGGGGTGGTACTAGCCAGTCACTTGACTTGTTATCACAGGTTTCATGATGCCTTGAATTCACTGCAAGTGAAAACTGATCTGTTATAGCAAGCGGAGTAATTGGCAGGCAGTTGTGTCCCTGAGATCCATGAACCTGCTTTAGTGCCCATTAAAAACAATGAGATGGAAGTAACTCATTGGAGGCTTGATTATCCAAATAGAGCAGACTTCGAAATCCAGCCATCCCTGAGTGCAGTCAAAATAAGAGCCTTGTCTTGTTGTTGGCAGGGGTGACCTGTGATAGTTAAGGCATTGGAAAGCCAGGTCTAAAATCCCAACTTCATTATTTTTAATATTTAGGTAAATCCTGTAAATTTGCACAGACAAGCTGGTTCCTCTAGCGGTTTCAAACAAACAGATCAGCAAAACCCCATTGGGAGATCAGTGGTAGTTCACGGCAGCAGGTGATGCGCGGAGCAAGGCATCTTCTGAGCGGCAGCCTGTAATGTTCAGTATTGGCAGCAAGCGCTCGAGGCAGCAGGCACTGGGACTGAGTATTGGGGGTGATCCCAAACAGGGTTAGATGGAATGGGAATGAAGGGAGATGGTTGGCGTTGGGTTAAGCTGTCTCACTCCTCTCTCATCTCCCCTTCTATGACGCATCTTTGCTAATTGGAACTGCCAGGGTCGTGGCGAGGGCTCCGGTTTGTCTGCTCTGCTTCCTCAACCCAAGAACTCCACAGTGAAAGAGACAAATCGGGTACTTTTGCCCTACGCTTTCACGCGGAAAGCAGCAGAGAATGCCCCTGAGTCCAAACCGGCCAGGGCCCCAACCTCCTCCTCCAAGACAAAACCCCTGTTCAAGCCAGCAGTGGCCACGACCCCTTCGCCGTCCGCTATCAAAGCAGCTGCCAAAAGTGCTGCCCTGCAGGTGACCAAGCAGATCACCCAGGAGGAAGATGACAGTGACGAAGAGGTGGAGCCCGAGAATTACTTCTCCTTGTCGGACAAGAGTGAGCCCAGCGTGGTCAGCACAGAGGCATACGTGTACTCTGGCACTGTGGTGACGGAGGACCCGCCCCCCGGCACAGAACCAGAGCCCCAGTTCCAGGATGCTGCTGCAAATGCCCCTCTGGAATTCAAGACTGCTGTGGGTTCGAGCTCCACGCAGCACAGCTGGGCACCCAAGCCTGGTGAAGAGTATGGCGACCAGTCATACAATCAGTTCCCTGGCTACAGTGATGCCAATGCTACTGGTGCTTACTACCAGGTAGGTGCCTATTTTGTGGGGGCGCGGACATGGATTTAGGTGCCTCCAATTAATGGCTGGAGCAGCTTATAGCCATGACTTAGTTGTACTGAAATCATGCCTTGGGGCATCCGTTCGGTTCTGGGAAGAGCTCTCTGTACTGCTCTGTTCCTGCAGCATTCTTTGTCTTCCCCATGGGTCTCCCTTCCCAGCACTAGCCCTTTACCCCCTGCACTTTCCATGTGAGGCTAAGTGCAGGAGGGAAAGGTTTTTAACATCTTCGGTGGAGCTGAGGATCCTCAGGACATTCCTAGAGGCCTTCCCACTCCAGAAGGACATCCCTAGTGGGGTAGACACCAGCATCAGGCATTGAAGAGTATCTCCAAGCATGGGAGATCTGCAGGAATGGCTTGGATTTGGTCATGGGGACACAAAGCAACATTCCCAGCCAGGGCCTCACTGACTAACCTGAGTGAAGCCTTAGGTCTTCAAGTATGTGTGGAAAATGGTACGCACACCTGTTGTGCTGCCAAAGTCACAAGGAGAGTTGATCTGAATAGGTCAGGCCTTACAGGAGGAGGGGGCAGGTAGGGGAGAGCAAGGGGTTTGTTGGCATCTGGAGGAGGCCCTCCCATGTTCTGCAAGTGGCACGCTAAGGTACCTTATTCTCAGTCTCTTATTCGAGCTCCAGTGCTGAGTCTTGTCTGGCTGCTGGGACAGGAATCCATGTGCCCCGTGGTGCCAAACCCCTTTCCTTTCCTGGCAGGATTACTACAGCAGTGGCTATTACCAGGAGATGGAGCCGGCCCAGGGACCGCCACAAGAGACTGGCAGTGACTCCTCCTTCATCGACGATGAAGCGGTGGGTGTTTGCTCTCTCTTCTCCCCTGGGGATGCCATGGGGCTGCAGGAGCATGGGCTGGGATTGGCAGCCTGCCATAGTAGCACCCACACTCAGGGCTTCCTTACCTGCTGTGCTGGCTCAGCCCATTGTTTTTTCAGGTCTAGCAGCCCACTGCAGGCAGTGTCTGATCCCCATGGCTGCCCACTTCTCCTCTTAAGGGCTTGCGGTCCACATAAGAAACCCCCCGTTCAGGAAAGATTCTTGCTTTTCATGGTGATGAGTGCCTGACAAACACAGTGGTGAAGTGCTTCCAAGTCAGCAGTGCAGCCAAGTAAGAAGTCAGGGGCTCCGTGAACCGCCAGTTCTTCACCGTTCACTCCATCTACATAAATTCCTCGTGCTAGGGAGCAGACCATATCTGGGCTGGATTCTCAACTGCTGTAAATCACTAGGGTTCTGCTGATGGCTATGGAGCCCTGCTTTCCAGTCCAGCAGAGGAGGTGGCTTTGATTTCTTTGGAAGGATGTGTAGCGCAGCAGGGCTGGTTACACAGAGCACACCAATCAGTTGCACTCATCCTGATCTCTGCATTTCGTGAATGCTTAGGGGAGCAAGGCTGGATTCCCCTCCCTGATGTTGCCCCTGCAGAGTTTTACTGTAAAGACCAGAGAAAAGCACCAAACCCCGAGGAGAGCTAAGTATCCCTGACAGGAAGTGGAAGCCAGATGAGGAAACATACCCAGAAACTGAGAAGTGCCCAGATCATGCAGCAAATTAGTAGCAGGCATGAGAATAGAGCTTGGGTCTGGTCCTTCACTCAGTGAACCAGGAGATAGTGTTGATCCATGTTGATTCTTCGCTCAGTTCAAGCGTCTCCAAGGCAAGCGGAACCGAGGGAGGGAAGAGATCAATTTTGTGGACATCAAAGGAGACGATCAGCTGAGCGGCGCCCAGCAGTGGTTGACCAAATCCTTAACGGAGGAGAAGACCATGAAGTCTTTCAGCAAGGTATGGGTGGGAAGGGATAGCCCTCTGGGCTGGGAGACAGGAGACCTGCATCCAGTTTTCAGCTTGGTCACAGGCATTGGGCAAGTCCTTTCCTGTACCCTGCATCTTTGTTCCTGTGTGTACAACAGAGAAAATTGTCCTTCCGCCTCCCCCTGGGGTTCAGCATAAAATCCACTGGAGCACTGAATTCTTACCAAGGGAAGTATGGAGTCAAATCCAGATTCCTTCAAATCAGTGCCGGGGCCCAGTGTTCTACCCACTGGCCAGGGAAAGGGGCAGGTTCTCCAAGCAGCAGGAGGCCCCTCTGCCAATGGCTCTGGTCTGGGCACTGATAGTCATTTTTCTTTTGTCTGCAGAAAAAAGGAGACCAGCCCACTGGGCAGCAGAGGAGAAAGCACCAGATCACGTACCTGATTCACCAGGTGAGCTGCCTGCTGTTGGCATGGAGCCATCCAGGGCAGATGTATGTGCATACTGGGAGCAGGCAGGTCGATGCCTGGGCCCAACAGCTCTTGCTCAGCACAAGGGTGAAGTGAGAATCATAGAAACAGGGTTAAATGTGACCTCCTGAGGGCCCTTCCAGTCCAACCCTCTGCTCAAAGCAGGAGCAGCCCCAACTAGATCATCCCAGCCAAGGCTTTGTCTAGCTGGGTCTTAAAAACCTCCAGGGACGGAGATTTCACCACCTCTCTGGCCCTTCTTTCATGATCGGGGCTCCCAGCAGCATCCAGCTCAGCTGCTCTCATCCTCAGGGTTTCAGTTGGTTACAAGGCAGTTTTGTGTCCTATCTTAAATATGTTTCTGTGCAGCTGTTAAATAGCTGCTGAGGCCCCACCCTAAAGGAGACTGCATGTCCCCATGAGCATCTCTGTCAAGACTTATGAAATACGCCCATATCCTGGCTGCTGGTCACAACTGTTCCCAAGTCCTTGCTGGCCGGGGGCTAGGGAAAGCCAGAACGCTATTGAAGCAAGGAGCCAGTGGTTCTGATTTAACCCTCCCCTCCTTCCCCAGGCGAAGGAGCGAGAACTGGAATTGAAAAACACGTGGTCCGAAAACAAACTCAGCCGGCGCCAGACCCAGGCCAAATACGGATTTTAGCACCTCTCCCCCTGGGGGTAGTAGCCCAGGTGACCTGCTGTGTCAGATCCCTCCCGGCCCCCCGGGAAGTGACGAGGCCCCTGGACAGAACCCTGTCTGCTGCGTGGGTGAGAGGATACAGCACTCCCCTGGCCACCAGGAGCAGGGTTTAGTGCGAGCCATGTCTGTAACCCAACGCTCTGCGCTTTTTATTTTGAACGACGGTGTAGAAGGTTCCAATCACGTCTGGTCCGTGCAGCTAGGGATGCCGTCGCAAAGAGCTGCTGGCCCATCCGGAGAGAACACCGCTGGTGCCAGGTTGGGAGCTCTCGCCCTGTGGGTACACAGACCTCCGTCTTTCTCTCTTCCAAGTTGCTGCCAGAACTGTAGGCAGAGCCTCCATCTGTTTCCGACTCCACTGTCGCTCCGTTCCGAAAGGCAGCGGGAGGGGGTTTGCATTGAAAGAGCCTTTCAAGTTTCCCCCCCTTTTTTTTCTGTACCTGAGTGGATACACAGCTCCTCATGTGCTTGTGATGTTGGCAGTTTTCAGATGTGGCTGATCTTTTGTGTTTGGTTCCTTAGCCACCTCTGCTGGCAACTCACACTGAGGGGAAACGACTACTTGTTTTCCAAGGGCTGCTGGCTAGCAAAGCGGTGTTGAGTTTGTTTGAAAACCATGCAAAAAATCTCCCTGTGCATGGATTATGCAGGAGACCTGAACGTTTTTTTTTTTCTCTGCCAGCACAAAAGCTGCTGTAAGCTCTCAGATCTCTGAATGTTGTCTCTGTTTCTCCCCGTCCCCGCCCCTCCGAACCACAGCCCACAATGCTGTAAAAGGAAGAAAAAAAAAATCTGCTCCAAATACTAGTTGAATTCAAGTATTTCCGGTCACATGGTGCGTTATAGCTGACAGTGAACTCAGTTCACTGAGGCAGACAGCAGCATTTCCTGTAATCAAACCTAGGTAGATGCTGCCTGCTGTTTATCTC